AAAGAAAAATGTGTAAAACATTGAATCAGTGAGATGCGAAATTCAATCAGCTGGATGTAAAAATTGAATCAAAAATGCGAAAAACGTTTGAAAAAATAAAAATTTGAAGCAAAGCTTAAAACTTGATCAGAGAAGCAAAAAAAGCATTAAAAGTATCAAGCAGTGAAAAAACTGCTCATGACAAATACAAAACTGGAGTAAAATAGATCTGAGAATGTCAGTGAAACAAAAGATGCCAAATTTGAGAAGCATCCCTTTTTCGGCTGCATGTTTAAACAACTGTATATGATTAAATTTATTGAGAAGTGTATTAATCCAAACACTCTGACAGCTCAAAACTGAGAAGACAAGGCAGAAGCCAGGCCGCCAGCATACTGGTGATCAGGCGATATAAAATTGCCCAGAACAACTGGAAAAATTGCCAGTTGCATATTTGAACAACCACAATATGAATTAACGGCGATTTCAAAAATTGCAGATATCTGGTAATTTCTTAACAACTGTCAAGTTTTATGCGTTCTGTGCTATGGAACAGCTGCACAAAACGCATACTGTCACAAAGTTGTCAGTGTGTGTGCATGTGTGTGTGTGTGTGTGTGTATGTATGTATGTCTGATGCATCTTGTCTCCAACTTTCACCTCGGAAATCACGGAAACTAGGAAGCTGAAAATTTACGGTAATTTTCTTCACTTACGTATGACTCTATAAATTTAAATTCAGCCTTCCTGTTCCCGCGGGTAACACGTACGGACCCATGAAAGTTTTGGCGGGGAAAATTATTATCTCAGAAACCATGGAAGTTAGGAAGCTGAAATTTTGTAGGCATGTTTCCTACCCACGTGCGACCCAGAAAGTTTAAATTCAGCCTTCCCATGCTCGCGGGTAACACGTGTGGCCCTGTGAAACTTATGGTGAGTAAATTATTACCTCAGGAACCACGGAATCTAGGAAGCTGAAACTTTACGGCAGTGCCCCCTTACCCATGTATGACCTTGCAGATTCAAATTCACGGATACTACCTACGATCTCGTGGGAATTTTGGTGGGTAAATTATTATCTCGGGAGCCATTAAAGCTTGGAAGCTGAAGTTTCATGGTAATGTCCCCTGCCCACATACAACCCTGCAAATTTAAATTCAGCCTTCGCGCGGTCCTAGGTATCACTTACGGCCTCGTGAAAGTTTCGGCAGAGGAAATTATCCCAGGAACCACTAAAGTTGGGGATCCGAAATTTTACAGCGATATCCCCTACCAACGCGCGACCGCTATAAATCTGGATCCAGCTTTCACGCACAGTTGGGTACCAATTACGATATCGTAAAAGTTTCGATAGGGAAATTACTACCTCGTGAACTGCAAAAGATAGAAAGCTGAAAGATAGAAAGCTGACATCCCCAGCCCATGCACTACTCCGCAAATTTTCAACGTCCCGGTGGAAGTTTAGGCGGGAAAAAACATTTCGGGAGCCAGAATAGCTAGGACGTTGAAATTTCAGGGAGACGTTTCCTGCAAAACAGAGACTTCACAAACTCGAATTCAGTCCCTAAGTATGCCGAGCTCTCACGTACGAACACATGAAAGTTTTGTCGCAAAAATCACTCGAAAGCCAGAAAATTAGGAGA